TTTTTTTTTTTTTTTTTTTTTTTTTTTTTTTTTGTACAATTTGTACTATTTCATTATTAAATTAAGATGATAAAAATATAATAATTCAATTTATTATCTATACTTTTAGAGTTTAATTGTATAATTGATCCTACTTTAAGTAGAGCTGAAAATAGCCATTTATTTTAAGCAGTAAAATAACAATGTTTAAAGAAAGTTACATTCAATATTCTATTCATGGAATCTATGAATTATATATATTCTAAATTAGTGCATAACTGATATTAAGACTTGGAGAGATAAATTAATCAAACTTACTCTTAATTTGCTTTGTCAGCCCATTAATTTGCTTTTTCTTTGGATAACGAAAATTTAATACCATTAATCTATTAATATATTACTAATTTCAGCCATCTCTATAATCCGATATAAATGTGGACTTTGCCGAAGAATTTATCCACCCATATTTATGCAGATAACTTAGGACCAATGGATTAGTAGAGACATGTAATATTTATGAAAAAAATTGGAGCTTCTTTCGCGTGTCACCGTAAGGTGATAAATTGCCGTAGTAGAGCAATCGAGAAGCTTCTTATTGGTTTGTCGATTAATCGAAGGAATAAATTATTAACTGGCGGTAGCATTTTAGGTATCTTTCAAATAATAACTCAATAACCCCTCCAACCTATAATTTTTATTAGAATTCATACACATTTACTACTTGGTCGCCCACACACATTCGAGGCTTGATTCATGCAATGGATTTCTGTATCATCTCATCCAAGGGTGTGATCTTCAGCTCGTTTATCTGAAAAATACCGATCGATGGATGAGCAGACGTTCCTCAGTTCGATAACTCCTTCTTCATTGTAAATCGCGGCTTTGTAAAATTTTTCTCGCTCAAGGCGATCAACAAAAACACGTATCGCACCACACTTTGTTCTGAATTATCCGCGATCGAAGGAGATCATAAAGATCGACGCGGCGGTCGATGCCGCGATGAGCAAATGAAATACCGAGCGTACCCCTAGTGCTTTTAAAGTGCCTATTAACGAGAGAGAAAAAAAAAGAAAGGAACGATGACAGCGACCTTTAAAGCCGTATAAACATGGATTCTCGGAGAAAGAAGAATGTTGGTATATGCTGCGCGAATATGCTCTCATGCGAAACAGCGGTAATGCAAAAAATTCATGTACCTGCACGTGCGGTGCTGTGCCGAGGGCAAACAGAACGGCGTCGGCTACGTCCTGGACATCAAGGATCATTGATTTGTCGAAGAGATCATCGGTTAAGCCAATGCTCTGTAACATGTCAGTTCTCACAGCTCCCGGGCTGATACTCTGTAATGATTTTAAATCTTAGCTTATTTTACTTGTAATAGTCGTATTATTTTATGTGATATTTCGTTAAGATAATGTATACTTTATAGAGGAATAGATTTGCTTATTGAGAAGGAAGCATTATAATGCAATGGATCTTCGAAAATCTTAAAGTTAAATACTCAAGTTGTAAATTAATGATAAATTATTTTTTACGGGCGATTATTTATTAATTTTTTTTATATATAAATTAATGTCAATTCATTCGAGTTATTATATATAGCTAAATACAACTATATTTACATAATTTTTATTACATAATAGTAGCATCAGGATAAATAATTATAGGGTAGTTGAAGCGATGATTTAAATAACTATATAACTTCATCGATCCTATTTGCTTTTAGATGCGTCAATAATAGCAAACAGTTAATTTATTGTATATGAAAGATAATATCTTATTGTGTTTAATGTCCTGAAAATTTTAAACAATTTTTTTTTTTTTTGATATCAAAACTTTTTAAAGTTCGCTCATTACTCTTAACTTATAAAACACCGTTATAAAAGTATAACTTTAAACGATAAAAGTTAGACAAATCGCAGCAAATCTATTGTGTTACTTGTGACTTTTGCGTTTTCAAATTGTAATTATTTGACATAAAATACATTTTGAAATTTCGAGGATTTAAAAAGGTCCTAATATCCAGCCATCAATCCTACTTTTTCAAGGTATTTAATGATTCGTACACTGGAATTTTAACTTTGTTATTGTTTTTAAATTCTATATTATTTTTGTTTTATACTGTCATTAACAAAGAAAAACAGCAATTGAATACAAGTCTATTGGCCATATTCAATTTGAAATAGAAATTCTTGTTATACAAGAACGTTAGAAGTGTTTCATATGCCTTATTCGCTGAATATTCTGTTTTAATTTAAAAATAGGGCGAGTTTCTCTTTGTGCATTGTTTTTTTTTTTTTTTTTTAAATACTGGAATAGTGTTTTGTAAAGAAATTGGCATTCGTTAACAAGGCTTTTAACTAATGAGATGCTGCTATATCTTTCAGATCGCAATATTGGTGCAATTAATATTTTATATAACAATGTGACATTAAAAATTGATTCATTTTAATTATTTTATTATAATCGGTTTTTAATTACCGACTGCTCAAATTATGTTTCCTCATCCTTGGATCAATATTATTACATTTTATTACGTTGTCGCCTACCTATGTATAATTAATATAGTTTACTATAATTAGCGCTAGATTTGCAAAAAATATATTTAAATTTTTAATTAAATCATGATTATTTATTGAAGCGCTAATTGCGAATGGCGTATCGATAGTCATAACGATACATAATAATATATTTTCTTCAAATGAACCTTACCTTTAAAATTTTACCTACGATTTATGAATTTATACTTAAAATTATTATCAATAAATTTATCCCTTCGATTTTCCAATTAATTGGATAGATGAGAAATTGTTCGCATGTAATTTAATTACTGAATAATAACATAATTATATAATAATATTTAACTTAAATTATCAAAGGTATAATTCTTGAATTTTTATGGTAAAATATATATTAAATAACAGTGCCTATTAAATAAACTTTAATTAATAAGAGGACGAGTTTATTTATTTTTTTTTGTTTTTGTTTTGTTTTTTTTTTTTTTATAAAAAGCAATCAGTGGAATGTAATGACACGTCTATGTTATATCCATGGTGTTGTTTTCCTCTCAATCGTCACTGTCCATTAATTGAAAAAAAAATTAGCTTATTTATTAATATTTTTATATAAAAATTATTATTTTTAAATAAAATCTTTCGTCCCGTCACATATATAATCCCTGAACAATTTTCTATGAATCATATCGCAAGCAATTATTATTAGTTAGTTCAAAGAATCATTATTTGCGCAATTAGATTAATAAAAAAATCTGTATCATTGATATTGAGCGTGAAATACATGATTTTTTTTTCCTTTTTTTTTTTTTTTTTTTTTTTTTTTTTTTTTTTTTTTTTAATAAATATTACATTTTTAAATTAAGTACGATGGTAATTATCCAATACAAGGAGGAGGAGATATAGTATAGTTAAAGTTTCTCAATATATTACGATAGATGAACCGAGTATACAATTAAAAAAGCATATTTTCATGTAAATTTGCAGACGGTACCGATTTCTGAAATAATTATTTCATGAAATATGTCCCTTTTCATCGAAGCTACTCACCGAGATCTTGATGCCGCATTTGAGGGTGGAAAATTCGTTGCGCAATGATTCGGTTATGCCGGTGACCGCGTATTTGCTCGCGCAGTAGGCACTCAACGGCAGGAGAATCTTTGTCGCCTCGTGTCCTGCGATACTGTTGATATTAATGATGTGTCCGCGAACCTCGTGCTTTAGCATCAAGCGGCTGGCCTCCTTCACACATATCGTTAACGCGAGGAAGTTCACATCCAAAATCTTCCGGATGTTCTCCGTGCTGCCGTCTGCGAGCGATAAATGCTTAGAAAAGGATCGACACACGGAAATAAATGGAATAGCACGTGTGTCTCTGTAGTAATAGGAATTGGATGGCCAATTCGGACGATTTGTAACGTTTCGTTTTAGGAATAAACGTGCAGATGAATATTTTTTTTTTTGTTTTTTCTCAAGCTTGAAGTGAATAGGGCATAAATATAAACAAATATAAATCGATGATTTATAACTGTTGAAATGAAAACGATATTAAATATGAATTTTTTTCGCTTCGATCATTAATACCACTATTATTTAATTGTATTATTATGTCAGAATGAGATAATATCTAATTACTCAGTGAGTGCTAATAATAATTTATTATCGACGAATGATTACAATATTTTAAGAATTATAAAACGTATGTTACGGATAAACGTCAAGCTTGACATCTATTTCGATTGAAATTGTTATCTTAACTATAAATTCTTTGATATTTTCACATTAGATATAGATAATGAGATATTGCAAAAATTGAGAAAGGAGATTACATGTTATACGCTATTTATAATTCATGGAAAAATTGATCTTTCTTCAACTAGATTTTTATGTCAGTATCTAAGAAATGATTGTATTAAGCTTTGAACGTATAATTAATGTCAGCGAGCTTGTACTATTTAATCAATGAATCATAACAATAGCATTGTTGACAAATATTTTCATTATTAATCGCATTATTACTAATAATACTAATTAATATATTATGAAAAATAGAATTTGAAATATTACACATATGCAATACGTAAGCCTTAAAGTTATGTACCATAAGGCTCATAATAATTCAATATTCGTTGAAAATAGATGGTACTTAATAATGTAATACAAGAACGTGGTGTTTTCTACGAAGTGCGAGCTTCGATTATAGATCTGTGCAAATATAGACAGGAAACAGCGTGTTTTAATGCTATTTCATCATAATTTTAGGAAACAGTAATCAATTGAAGAATTAGCATTGTGGCAAGCAGAGTAGCTAATAACGAAGTGGCATCGGCTAAATTTTCGATTTGCACAAGACAATTGGAGGTGAAAACGAAAGAAACCTGATCCTTACCAATGATATTCTCATTGACGACTACTCCCGCGGAATTAACAAGTACGTGCACGGTGGAAAATTTCTTCTCGACGTAGGCGAACGCCGCGATAATGTCGTCCTCGTTGGTGAGATCGCAGGCTATCGGGTAATAGCAATCCGGATAGCGCTTGTTGGCGTGTTTGGATATGTCCTCGAGGAGGCTGAGTCTCCTCGCGAGGCCCACGACCTTCATACCCGCCTGTAGGAGATTTTCGGCAATGCAAGCCCCGATGCCCGCAGAGGCGCCTGTCACTACCGCGACATGTCCCTTCCAGCGTTCCATTTCGACTGCCGCGTTGAGACCTCGAGGGGCCCCGTTGCGGGTCCCCCACCCAGAAACCGGTCGTCCGTGCTTCTCACGCCGTCTTCGCGATTTACAATGACTATTGGGATTTCAGTTATGCCGGGAGGATACAGATCGACTAGTCCGACAAACTGCCTCGCACGAACTCCATGAAATACCTTGGCCATATTTTCGACCCTTTTACCTTCGACAACAGCTTCGTCTTCGTCTACCTGATTGACCTTTCTTTATTGAAATCATTAAACGGGATTTTAATTTTTTCTAAAATTCTTAAATATACATCACATAGAATTAACGTCTACCACTCCCTGCCATGCTGTTAAAATCGAATTTAAATTCAAGTTAATTTTATTCTTTTTTCGTTAAATAAAATTAACAACGATGTGCTTCTTTTTACCACGGATTTTACGAATTTTATATTTTTTTTTTCTATTTAAAGTATATTATTGTTAATACTTTCTGAACATTATCATTATTTTGTAATACGAGTTGTTATGTTGTTAAGCTATCTGAAATCTTTGAAACAATAAATTTTCATAAAAATTTATGTTTATTCTTTATGAAATGGTTAATATTTATTTATTTTATTCATCTTGTAAAATTACTTATTGGACAATTATTTTAAGGACAAAATTAATTTAATAGCATTGATATTTTCTTGGATATGGTGCCGATATTTTTTTATGATACGTGTAATAAATACTACACTTAATAATAAATATATAATATAAAAGTAAATATATAATTAAATATAATAAATATAATAAATTTATATAATATTATATTTACCCTTGAATAGGAAATAAATTACAAAGAATAAATGTGACTCAATCGTGTCCATGGATTTCAATAAAAGATTTTATTGAAATAAAAGAATTCTCACAAGGAATTGTAATTTTTTTTATTCCGCGAAAATGTAACAAACTTACGTATTGTATAATTGGTGTTCTAAGAAGAGGCAGATATTTTTCTCAGTCATCTCTTCTCACTCGACATTAGTGCTGAAATACAATTGTGTCTTATATTATTCAACGAAAGGTGGAATAGTAGAGACAAGGAAATAAAAAAAGAAAAATATATATATATATATAACGCAAGGCGCTTGAAAAAGCCCGCGATTGATTAACATTATCGCACACCTACTGATGCAAATGCATGCGAGGGTAAAGTGTGTAATAGACAAGTAGTTCGGATAATTAACAAGCTAGCATAGGCACTTATAATCAAAAGCCAGAGAATGAGTTGCGTATGTATTAATGAGCAGCAGTGAGCTACTCGTACTTGTCGATCACTGACATAATTCACACGCATCATGCATGCTTACTTCCATACTAACGTACATATCCAAACGTGCAGATATACGTGCTTACCTCCTATTGCCTACACACACGCACACGGACACGAAGGCATTTGATAATTTAAAAAGTAATGCGCAAGTATTGATGCAGCCGATGCAATGGCGCGAGCATGTCAAAATCACGCGCAACTCAGGTCGTGGTAATCGAAGGTAAATTAAGCCGTTGACAAACCAATTACTTGGAGTACTTCTCGCTCTCACCTATTTACTACTGATGCGCCTCCGCCCACCCACGAGTAACTTCCTATTTCCAGCTTGGATATTGCACTTTTCATTCCATTCCCTTCTCCCGACTTTTCCAATCATCATTATCATCATTATTATACTATAAGTTCCTTCTTATTATATCCCCGTTATTGTTCTTCTTTTATTATTCTTATCGTTAATTTTAATATTATTTATGTGATTATTGTGACTATTATCATCATCATCATCATCATCATCATCATCATCATAGTTGTTATTATAATTGTTATTATTATTATTATTATTATCATTATTATTATCATTGTTATTATTGTTATTATTATTATTATTGTTATTATTATTATTATTGTTATTATTATTATTATTGTTATTATTATTATTATTGTTATTATTATTATTATTGTTATTATTATTATTATTATCATTATTATTATCATTGTTATTATTATCATTGTTATTATTATCATTGTTATTATTGTTATTATTATCATTGTTGTTATTATTATTGTTATTATTATTATTATTATCATTGTTATCATTGTTATTATTGTTATTATTATTATTATTGTTATTATTATTGTTATTGTTATTATCATTGTTATTATTATTATCGTTGTTATTACTATTGTTATTAACAAGGACGATGCCTTCTTTCAGTGCGAAACGAGTTGAAAAATAAAAATAAAAAAAGTGCCTATCGATCTACTCGCCCGGGGGTTCTGCAAAAATATTTTAGCGCTGCAACTTATTCCCAATGACATTATTCGAATGTAAAAGGGATCTAACGTTGAGGTATACTTTCGGTGGTAAGTAAAACTTCTTAAATTTATTTATTGGAAATGAGCGCGGCTTTAATATTTGTAGATCTTATGCTTGAAAGGCATTCTTTGAAGATTAAGTTCGAATACTTTGAATTTATAATTTAAAATTCGTAGATGGACCTCTCGCTGCATTACACAAAGTTTATTTTGTATCCTTTATCTAAGTAATTACTTTAGTTTAAGTTTTAATTTGATATTTGTATTTTAATTATGGGATAAGAAGTTTTTTAAAATATATTTTACTTCTATATGATAAATTCTTTCTTTTACAATTTTTGAAATATATTTTCATGACATACTTTATTATTTACTACAAACTTTAAAATATAAATAATATAATAAATGTATAAATTTGCAACGCCGAACGTCAATTATTTATATATGAAAAAGAATCAAAATGTTAATAACAATTCTTCTAACACTAAATACCTGTCTAACAATAAATCTTATAGGAATGCCTGTCTCGTATTATATTACTTATAAATATTTATTTATTATCAATTTACCTAATTGTTGTAAATATTGCCTAATACTTTAACAATTGTATTCATAAATTGTACTCATAAATAATCGAGTAAATATTTCTCTAACACTAGTAAATTATTTATAAAGAATGCCAATTTTACGAATATAATTATTTCCTCATAATGTATAAAAATATATTCAATTTATCGCCAATTTTCAACAAATTAACTTTCATTATAGTAATATATAGGGTTTTATATAGAAAAATAGTATACAAGTGTCTATATAAATTTATTTTATAAAATTTTTGATTAAATAAAGAAAAAGTACTGTTTGTATGAATGTTCAGCATAATTCGTCACCTTCGAATACACATATTTATTAAAATTATTTTTCATTTAAATAAAATTGAAAACATTGGCTTCGTAAAGATAAAAAGCATTGAAATACATCAGTTGCTCATATGACAATGTAACTCTAGCCAATAAATTTTTCATGTAAAATTTATACAATACACGCTATTATTATAATTTTAATTGAATAAAATTATTAAAAAGATTTTTCATAATATACCAAACTAAATAGTGATTTATAGCTTTAATAAATTTTCATTAATAATTTATAGTTGTTATACGAATTGTTTTATATTATTATTTTGTTCATGGATTTATAATTGCGTGTTAATTAAAAAAAAAATATATATATATATATATATATATTCTAAATTTCAGTATTAATAATAAAAATAATAGAATATCATAACAGGATAAATTAGGTATAATAAACAATTATAAGATGATCAGACAATAATATAACATTAGTAAGGTAAGATCAATTAATTAACTTCGAAACTTTCTGGCATCCTGAGACGCCTTCAAGGAGACGATCACTACACAAAATTTGAGTTTGATGAGAGTACGTTTGCGCTATTCTGTATTTACACATTCGAACTGATGTTCTCTCTCATTATGCTTGTCGGTGTCAGTCACTCTAACTTCCCTTCCTCCTCTATATTGAGCGATCCTTGAAAATGATCATAAATTTAATAAGGTAATTTTTAAATTTCGATGTTTACTAAATTAAAATACGCATTGAAATTCGGAATCCCATATAATATTGGTAATGAATAAGCTTGATGTTAATGAATATTTTACTTGTGAATATCATTAAAAAATAAAAAAGAAAATTAAAGTTAGAGATTTAATTACAATAAAAGCAATATTCCATTATTTTTTTGTCAATTATCATTATTAATGTTTATAATGTAGAAGCGAGCTCGTAATTTTCATTAATTATAATTTATTAATTTTAATTGAGATGTACAATTAGGATTTAGAAAGGATAATTCATAAGTTAATTATGACAAAAATATATATCCTTCTTTATATTTTGATTCTTTTTTTCCTTTTTTGTCAATTTTTTTTTTATATTCTAAGCACGTCGATTTTATTACAATGCATATAAATAATCAGTATGTGAATACTTAATAATTTAATATTAATCGAATGTTTAAATACCAAAACATATACATTATTCATCTCGTTAATTTGCATTTTATATCAAATTTATTCAAGATATAGAAAAAAAAAAATGAAAGAAAAACAAATTGAAAAACTAGTAAAGATTCCTGTTATAATAATTAATTAAAAAAATTGCACACGATATAAGTAATAATTACGACGTTATATTAAAATTGATAATTTGTATAATTATTTTATAAACTGAGATAATATTTTTAGCTCCATATTCGAAATTAGTTCACCGTTTCCACAATTATTATATAGCATAAGTGACCTTAAAGTAAGATTTTAAAGTAAGAATATACTTTTATGCATAAAATTGTTCAGTTTGTCGGCATACTCGTTAGTAAATGTAATTTTGTCACATTCTTCAACACTTGAGTAATTTTTTTTTTATATAAACAAGACCACGTATTTGCATAGGGAAAAAAGTTTCTTATTTACTGTCGTAGTAAATGTTAATTTTTCCTTTCACCCGCGGCAACTGACTACCTTACGTTTCACGAACCTGTACGCAAATAATTAACGCAAGCTTTAATAATAATATTATAATAGTGATTAACGTTCTTGAATAAATGTCTCGAGTATTTAGCGCCTGCGGAATTGTCTCGCATATTATCTGAAA